ATAGCTGAGAGCAGGTCTTTTGTGGTGTTTCTTAGAATATAAGCTGCAATCTTTAGTGATAATGTTTTCTGGTACATTTATAACACTGAATGTTACATTTGTCACGTTTTTCAAATTCTTATTTGACGTAGGTTAGGATGCCCTGAATGCAAATCCGCACAACCAATTTTGGAACCAGTCACGAATCTGTGCTGTGTCCATAGAACGCCAGTATAAAAAAATTTCATATTTTTAGCGAATCTTATAATGACTCTCATAAGCGGGGGCGAGCATTTGAAAATGAATAAAATGCTGTTCTGAACCTGATACAGGGGCAAGAAACCGAATCTCTGAAGCGGCAAACCCAACAAACCAGCAGCAGATCAGAATACAGTTTACGTTCAAAGCACATTCGTACTCAAAAGGCACAAAATCGTCATGACTTCGTGCGCATCATTCAGTAACTTCAGCACAAACAAACTTAGCTACTGATATCACGACAGACGAAGAGAACGCAAGAAAGGTATCTAAGATATCTTCTTTTTTAAAATATGACATGAATACAATCTCTGAGTTTACCGAGATAGCTTGAAGCAAAGTATTTCAATATTTTTTGTGAAGTAGGAAGTTTTATTCGAAAAACACCTGTACAAGCATTTTTCTCGTATTAGCTTGCGGGTCCAAAGAGAACTCATAAAGGAATACTAGTATAAGGCCCAATATAAGGCTCCACAAATTTCCCTTCACTCCGTACAACTTTGCAAAGTAAAATTTCAGCCTTTCTTAAATCGATTCGCATTAGGATGCAGTTGAAAGAGTTCTTTATAAGTATTGTCACGCTTGAATCCACCACACTTCCTCTAATAGGACTATAAGAAGTTTGTATCAATTTTGGCCTAAGTGGTACTATTACCGCAATATGCTCCCTTCTATCATTACGGAAGAAGTCGGCCAGCTGTGATCGTTGAATTGCACTGAAGCCTTTTCTCTCCAATTCAATATCGCATTCCCTTTCAATTTCCTTAAAAATAAGAATTAGAAAAACATTATAAACTACAGTGTGTTCTAAAATTGTTACTCACTATCATTTGTTGGGCTATCGGTTCGCTGGTAATATTGTAAAAGGCCGAGAAAACGTCAGAGTAATTACCAAATCGAGTCCGTACGATGCTGAAAACAGGATGATCATTTAAAAAAGCAAAACCATTGTAATGTAGAAAGTTCAGCCTAAAACCCGGACCTGTCGAAGCTTACCAATATGTGAAAGATATGTACTAAAATTACACTTCTAGTAGCCTTAGATAATGGCCTGACTTCAGTAATGCTACTGATATTAAAC